CTCCTACCCCTCCCAGTTCCCTTTCCTCTTTGTACCTTTACTTTCTATTTCACAGTATCTATTATACATTTTAGTCCTTATTTATACTTTCAGTTTCTCACACCAGAGAAGCTATTCAGTATTTACACGTGTGTGCCTTATTTATTTCACTTAAGCATACTGCCTCAATGTGCATTCATTTAGCTACAAATGTCTCTAATTTGTCATTCTTTATGGCTGAGTAGTACTCCATTTTGTTTTTAAAAACCCGTATTTTCTTTATCCAGTCTCCATTTAATGGGCAAGATGCACAATTTTATAATCCACTTCAAACTCGACATGGTTTGAGAACAAGCAGGACAATGAACTGTATTCAAAACCATCTCACATACACATACATGGAGCTCCAGAATTGCGGAGGACCCCTGGGAGGTGCCTGCCTAGGGACAGTTAATGTCAGTAAACACCTGTCTATCCAGGCAGCTTCCTGGGCCTAAGGAACAGGGTTTCTTCCAACTCTTTCCTTATTTAGCTCTATGAGCACCCACCACATCAAGCAAGATGTCTAACTTCTTACCTAAATTTATATTGAGTGAGAAGTTCAGTTTATGGGATATGCTTTGCTATGTTTTTTCTCACCATCAATTCAGGATACTAATGTGTTTTAAGAAGTCAGTGCTCATGACCTCAAATCACCAGCTCTACCTCCAGCTGCTATATGAGGGTGATTATAGATTTGACTCTCAACAGGCCAGCTCCACTGGGCATAGATCTGCAGTTATCAGTAGAAGCTCACCAGCATGCCACCTCCTTCATTGCGATTTACTAATCTTTCTGTACCATTTCTTTACTTTTTATAGTGACCACAGCGTTGGCCATGGGAAAGTGTGAGATTGTCGCAGAAGCTAAATTTCTCAAGTTGTGTGGCTGTGAGCAGGTTGGGAGGGACTTGGGTAGAGAGGAAGCCATCTTTGTGGTGTCCTGACCATTGTCCATTCTTAAAAGTTTTTATTCTGAGCCAGCCTTCCCCACTTAGGTGGCCCCACCCATTATGGAAATTCCCCTGCTGTGAGAGAGGAGGGCACTGTCTTCCCAGCTCCTGTGCTTCCAGCTGATGCCATGTATTATCTGGGGTTGTCCACATTGGCATTCAGTGGGTCAAAATAGAACCTGGACCGGAAATGTGGGTTCGAGAAGGTGGTTAAGATATGAAGATTTTTGTATATCCTTAAAGGAAAGTGTCTTTGAGAATGATATCTTGAACCATGCTTATCTGCTAGTAAGGAAATTTATATCCTAAACTGTGACAGGCACATTTCAGTCATCAGTGATTACCCTTTTGCCAAGCAAGGAGTGAATGGTCTCAGAGTTTCCACAGGAAGTGCTGCATCACATGTGTAGGTACTGAGAACGCAGGGGTGATGGAATGCTATTTGCTACATCATGTTAAAAGCAATGTGTTGGACACCGACATCCTCATCCTGTTTGAATAGTCCACAGGTGGATAGCCCTACATTGTCCGCGGTGCCTGTGCAGGAGGAATCCAAGCTGTCCTTGGAAGTTCCTTCCTGGTGCTGTGCACACCTGGAATTCACGATGAAGGTAGCTGGAGGGCCAGAAGCAAGGGACAGATTTTTGCAGGGTAGATCCATTCTCGTCACATCTGGGCAAAGAGCTGAGACTATTTACAGTGAAGCTTTTCAACCAACGTTTCTCAAATTCTATGGACCGTGATAGGATTTCTTTTTCTGACATAAAGCAGTCTGTAAACAAATGCCTCTGAAACTCGCCTTTCTTGTGCAGCAGTTGTCCCTTTTCTTATTTACATCTAAATTCTCCCTTACCTCCTGTGCCCTTGGTTCCTACCTCTGTGGGGAGCACAGACCCCAGCAGCCCTGTCACAGGGACCCCACAAGTGTTGCTCACTGCCAGGCAGGGGCCACATTTGTTATGCAACTCTTTCCCCAGGGAACTGACGGGGGAAATGGAAATGAGAACAATCCAGGTTTATTGAAAAGATATTTATTGAATGCCAGTTTAAGGTACAGGTGCCAATGACCCTGGAGCATGACCCTTTCTTCTTTAGGGTTAGTTTCCTTAAAGTCATTAAAAAATGCATTTGGAATGATCAGTACTGTGGCTTCATTATGTCTGGATCAGGAGCTAAAGCTAAACTTAATGGGAAAGAATGATTATATGTATATTTTCACTGCCTTAAAAATGCACATTTTGCTAATGGAGTCTCATGATCTTGTTTTTCTATTTTCTATAGTCAAAGCTGGAATAGGAAAACTTAAAGAGATAAATTGTGTTTGGTTATGATGAAAGCCAAGTAAGTTTACTAAACATTGCCCCTATTTTAAATATCTTTGGAAAGCAATCTGGCATAATCCAGATTGATAAAGGATCTATTTTCATGCCATTGGAAAACTCCTGTAATCCATGCATAAAGTTCTTGACCTCTGATATGGAAGTTAAATTATGAAGAATTAAAGGAAAATAAGAGAAAGCTATAACCCACAATGTCTTCTATTTTTATAATTCTGTGATGTGCCTTGTTATAGCAAGCACTTGATAAAAATTGCCTAAATGAGTGAGTGAATGGCCACATGTAGACCTTAGGGCTGTTTCCACCAACCCTTGGAACCATCTATCATCTAAAATCATTTTCCTATAAAACCAAATTCCCCTTGCTTCTGTTTCCTAGTAACTTCTCCCCTTGAGACAAATGCATCAGAACTTACACACTTTACTCCAGTCATGGAATTTTCCAAGGGAATAGGAAACCAAGACTCAAGTGAAGATACCCTGTGTTTTGATATTAGGATGGCTCTTTTACAGATACATGTTTGAAGCCAAGAAAAATAGCATCAGGAGGAAATAATGCTGATGTGGGGACATCCAGGATCTACTCCATGGGAACTCAGACTGCTAGGGTTTTTAAATCACCTTCGTATTAGCTTGGCTGTGGGGATGCTTCATGCAATTGTGTAGGTGAACACCCCGGGGGGACCTCAGTCCTGAGCAACCCTAGCTTCGACCTCCATCCTCAGCTGGAAGCTGTCTCCTCCTGGATGTCAACTCCAAGATCCCTGACTAAGCCCTAGGCATGTTTGCAAGTGAGCTTGGATTTCAGGGTTCCCAGACTGTGCTTGCCGGCTTTCCATCCCTTTGACAGAATACCTGAGAAATCAACTTAATGGGCAGAGGGTTTCTTTGGGCTCAGAGGTTTCAATGGCCCCTGACCTTCGTGGTTCCTAGACCAGTGGTGAGTCAGCATCATGGCAGGGAGCCATGGTAGAGCCGGGAAGCAAAGAGAGAGCAAGAGGGAGGAAGAGCTAGGGACAAAATGTGACCCTCAAATGCATGTCCTGAGGACCCCTTCTCTCTCCATCGGTAAGTCAGAGTCCACATGGCCCAACCCCTTTCTCAAAGCATCTTCTCTGCTGCCCTGGGGACCAAACCTTCTGCGCATGAGCTTTTGGGATGCATTTCAGACCAAAACCGCAGCACAGATACTGAAAAACTCTTTCCAGAGGGACACCGAAAACCCCATTGGCCCTTCCTGTCCACGCTCCTGCCATCACCTTTTCTGCCCCACTTCAGCTGTGGCTGCCCCGCCTCCAGGGAATGGCCTCTTGCCTCTGATGGCTTCGACCTTCTCAGACTCAAATGTCAAGCCCGCACCATGCCTGTACCTCTGCAATTCAGGTTTGCTGCAGCGCCTCTGACTGACACCAACGCAGGACACAAACAAGGGTTCTTTGGAGCCGAACCTCCAGCCTTAAACACTGGGATGGGAATCTGAAACCCAGAGGAAGTAACGGTTCATGGATTGCAAGAAGGTGGAAAAGCGTGTGGTGGGACAGCTTGAGAGGGACTTCCGGAACTGCACCTTAGAAGACAGAACTGCAGTATGAACAGCCCTGTGCCATGATGGCCAGGGCTCCCCACCTGTGGGCTGACCACCGGTGGGTTACCATTTAGTAAGACATCAACATATTTCTTTGTTTCATGGTTAAGCTAGATTCCTTATTTCTCTATTAAATCTGATCTCACCATATCCCACAGTTTTCAATTCTTGCCTATAAAAAAAGTCTTCCTTTCTTCCTTTTTCAGAAAGTCCTGTCTGTCTTTATGGTGATGCCTTACTAAGTAAGGGTGGCCCTGGGTCTTCCTGAGACCAGCAGCTGACTTCACTCAGCTACTTTCTCTTCCTTTCCCTCACAGCCACTGGGGTTCACAGTGGCCACAAGAGACACTGGGGACACTTGCTGCTTCTCCCAGCTGTCCCCACCCCAGCTGTCACTGGGACCCTTCAAAGCTGCTGACCCTGAGATTGGCTGCAGGGATGTGAGATCCAGCACCAGGGTTTCACCCTGAGGTCTCAAGGGTAAACCTTGTGGAGCCGTGGGCGTCCCTGGTGAAATGCCAACTTGCAGGCCGCATCTGTTTCCTGTCACCCAGGGAGAGCATGGCAGCTCAGTGTTCCCTCCACGGATCCCCAGGAAGTGGCTGCAGACAGCTCAAAAGAGCTGGCTTGTGGCACTCTGTGCTACTTCCAAGCAGCCAGACCTCATAGACAGGGCTGAAATGTCACAAATTTATGCCTGAATCCGAGATCAAAGTGCCAGCGGGGTGGAGACTGGCCAGGTCTCTGTCCCGGGGCTGCAGAAGGCCGGGTCGCATGGTGGACAGACAGAGCCCAGCACTCTGTTATCATCCTCTTCTTCTCAGGGCACTAGTGCCATCCCAGGGCTCACCTGTGTGACCTCACCCTCCCTTCACCCCCAAAACCCCCGCCTCCTAAAGCCGTCACACTGGGTGCTCAGGCCTCCACCTGAGTTCTGGGGAGTTACAGAGAGAGGATGTTTCTGTGCTATGCCCGCCTCTCGGCTCCCCGCTTCTGCCTGGGTCTCTCCCCCCTGCCCTCCCCTAGCTCTCCGGGTACCACAAGACCCCAGCGCCACACTCCTTGGCCACAGTGATAATGGAAGGATTCTCTCCTCCTCTTCCTGCAGGAACTCCCCCGACGAATGCGGCGTGGCCAAAGTCGGGAAGATGGTGGGCAGCCCGGACACAGTGGGGATGAACTACAGCAGCTACATGGAGGAGAAGCACATGCCGCCCCCCAACATGACCACCAACGAGCGCAGGGTGATCGTGCCCGCAGGTCAGAGGTCCCCTGTGTCCCCTGTGGGGGTGGGCTGGCTGGCTGGCCTGGCCACACCTCAGGTGTCCCCACTGGTGCCGTGACCAGAAGCCAGCACGAGTTTGTCTGCCTAGGATGACCCAGGTGTGTTTACTGGTTTTCCCCCAGACAAGAAGAACACACACACACACACACACACACACACACACACGCACCTGTTGTAGGTTCTCCCAATCTTTTATTCGGACAGATGAGAATCAACACAAATGGAGAGAAAGGGGGGAGGGAGAGATGGGAGGGGATGTCCGGCAAACATGCGTGCCTGCTAACACATATGTGCACATTTGTGTCTGTCTGCATACGAGCCTATGTCCCTGAACTGTGAACTTTCCATGGAGGAACTGCCTTTGATCTGAGACTCTTTGGTGATAAATATCCTGTCTTTTGTGAGATGCTCATTGTAATGGGTGGCAGGCCTGTTTGTTCTTCACCTTTTCTTACCCAGAAAATGAGAAGTTGGAAGCTGTATATTGTTCGCTCACATTTTCTTAAAGACCAAGAATTCCAGTTATCACTGGCGTGAGATGCAGATTATATAATCAGGGTAATTCTCTTTCCTGGTAGTTATTCAAATTCAGCACAAAGAAATGGCCCTCTTGAATTTGAGGGTAATGCCCAGAACTTATTTATTTAGAGAAGCTAAAGGTAATAGAAAGAATGGCTTACAGTAGGATGTGTGTCACGTAAAACTAAGCCAGTCACACATTCAGCACTTTCACTGTGTGGGGCAGTGTTAGAGCCTTGTCTCATGCCACTCTGGGGACCCAGTACCCTGACCCCATTGTCCTGCTGAGAGACGTGACCCTGAGGGAAGCTGGAGGCCAGGTTTGCACCCCTCCCTCCCTCGTCCCCACCACCCCAGCATCTGGGCCTGTGGTCAGCAATCCTGACTGTGGCCACCCACATCCCTGTCCTCATTGGCTTTGTGCACACATTGCTGGGGGGGCGCTAGGGTGCTGTCCCCACCTCCCCCGCTGGAGTTGCTCCCTGCCTCGCCAGTGACACACAGTCCGCCTGTCCTAGGTTCCTGTGTTTGACATGTTGATGTAGAAGTTGCCCTGTGCTCTTGTCCCGAAGCTCCTCCTCCAGGTGCCATAGGCATGGAGAAAACCCTAACAGGGTGTTGGGTGCACCCCCTGCACTAGGGACTCCCCACTGTCAGGGCTAGGAGATGTCGTGGGTCACACACACACACACACACACATGCATGCACACACACACACAGCTCTGTTTCCCCTCATCCTGGGGCTCCTGGAATCGCCTCTGGGAAATGCATATCCCCTCCTTTGTGACCACAGTGGTCACGCACTGTGGGTCTCTGTCACTTTCCACACGGGGCAGCTCAGAGTGCGCAGCACTAAACAAAACATCACACTCGGTTTCCCCTTGGGTTTGCTTCCGTGTGGCTCTCAGCCAACCGCCTGGAGCTGCTTGGATGCAGCGTGGGGGAAGTCATCCCGCTCCGGCTCAGCCTGACTCCGAGGCGTGAGGGAGACTTCCATGGGAGACAGTTGTATGAGGTCCCCTCATGATGTGGCAGTGGACAGAGGCCCTCCGTTTGGTTTGCTCACAGCCATGCGCACAAGAGTCTGACACACCCGCCACTGTGCCTGGTGTGGGGGTACAGCCTCCTCCTGGGCGGAAAGGATGGAAACACAATGACCCAGGTCCCTTTCCTGATGAGTGGCACCTAAACCCAAGCTGGAGGGCATGGAGGAGCAGGGCCAGGCGAGTGAGGTGGCTGGTGTTCCGGACACTGGCTGGACACAGGCGAGGAAGTAGAGGCACCAGAGCAGCCTCTAGCCAACACCCGCTTTGCCTTCCACCGGATAAGCATCCTGTCTTGCCGGAGGCAGCACAGGCTTGGTCATGAGCTATGGCGGGAGGGCTCCTCTCGCGCCTGGTAGATCACAGGTAGGAGCGGATGCCCACGTGGGGCTTGTCTTTCTGCTCTGTCGTCCTCGTGCTGGGATGTCATTGGTTCCAGTTTTCTGTGCAGCCAGCTGAGTCTTTCTACACAAGTTTTCAGAAAAGAGGGGTGAGATAAATGTTCACTGAGGCCAACGGCCCCTTCAGTCAAGTCGGAGTGTGGGGACTTCCTGTCCATAGTAGGTGCTCAGTAAAAGCTGGTTGGCCGCGTGGACCAGTGCTGCCTGGGCTCCTGTTGGGTTTGGTGTGAGGGCAGCTTCTGCCTCCACCCCTGGAGCCAAGTCCTCTGTCTGCCCCTCTTGCCTCTGGCCTCTGGTTGCTTCATGCCAAGACGGGCAGTTATTCAGTTAACAGGCTGATTTTGCAAGTTGTGAGTCTTGCAGCTGTTGGTCGAGCCTCAGCTCTGTGCACACACACACACACACACACACACACACACACGTGTGGGGCTCCGTTGCACAACATGGACAGTCTCCAGCGTCACACAGTGGCAGACCCCAGGCAGTGCCATTGGTTGCCACACCGGTCCCTTCAGTTCTGACGCCAGACGTATTGGGGTGTGGAGTGCTCTGTGCCCACTCCATTCTCCAGACTGGGTTCTGACCCACCTTGCCCAGCCACTACTCCTCAGACGCATAGCTTGGCACCCAGAATGGAAATTGTAGAGACGGCCAATGAGATGCCCATGAAACCACTAACTCTCCCTGGGCACTGCCCCCAGCCCCTGGCTCCACGTGGACATTCTTGTCCTAGACATCAAAACAGTCGACGGACATGGCCGGGAATTGGTTTGTGAACTGAGTGGTAACAAAAGAGGTCTTGGGTGTGTCGTCGGGTTTGTGTGGGGGTCCAGACTTGGAACTCGGTTCTGAGAAGCGATTCTCTTTGGTGTTGAGACTCACTCTTCCGTTAACTCAAGAGCCAGGAAGAAACCAATAAACCTTCCCTCATGAATCAATACGCACCATCATCTGAGATACGCTGCCCTCCTGGTGCCAAATGAATTTAAGAAAGTCGCAGAAATATTACACAAAGGCCCGAGGTAGAAACAACTTTAAAGCAAATTGGTAAAAACACGAACTACAGAAGGAACGTAACAGAGGACGAAAGCAGCAGTGAGATGTACATCACGCCCATCTTAAAGGTGCGAAGTGCTGCCCAAATGCAGCAGGCCTTTGACTTGCTCTGGGCTTTCGCCCTGAGAAGCCCATTTAGAGGTGAAGCTATCGGAAGTGACAAAGTTACTTAGCACAACACCTCCCCTGCTGACCGTGCCGGGAAGCACAGCCTGTGTAGTGAAACACGCTCAGAACCTTGGGCTTAGCCACAGTTGGGCAAAATCATCCCACCCCAAGCCTACTCTGTACCCCAGAATTGCCAGCTCGTGAGATTTATTAAGCACCGCACTACAAGTGAAAAGCAGGGTGATCGTTCAGGTCCCCAGCTTGCGCCGAGCGTAATCCCGCAGTTTCAGAGCTGGCGCGGGCGTGGAGCTCCGTGGTGACAGATGGCATTGTGCCCAGCACCAGGTTGTGTCTGCTCTTCTGTGCCCCTGCCAATAGCTGAAGCTGGCGGTGGAGCTGAGAGGCCCCTTCCCAGGGGTCTCCAGCTGGGCCTCCCCAGGGTGCGGCCTCGCTCAGTGTCTGGGGAGAGCGGGCCAGTGTGCCCCAAACACCCCACGTGTCGTGCTGTGTCATGCTGTCTCGTGGACGTCTGCCGTGGAGCGCGGCATCCTTGGGGTGCTGGGGGAGCCTCCGTGCTTGCCATGTGCCTCTGAGATCCTGGAGCTGCCCCTGGGCTGTGCTACGGCCAGACCAGCTAAGAGGAAGACCGTCTCCACTGCTGCTTGTTCAAGTTGCCAAATGCTGACCGGTTGCAATAGGGCCTCGGGCTTTAGCTGCTTATGGCATTTTGAAAGATTATTTTCCTATTCCTGTGTTTTATCCCCTAAAATAAGCACTGCTTTTCAAATGTCCTTCTTTTCTTTAAACTTTGCCCTTGTATTTTTAAACACAAGCCACTGCAAGCACAAGCCGTTGGAAGACTCAGCAGTCCTAGCAGGGTAGCTGCGTTCACCCATCCTGCGTTCCTGCCATCATTCACGGAGCACTTGCTACGTTCCAGCAACACCGGTCACAGCCCTTGTGAGATTTACAGTCCCAGAACACTCAGGACGGAGACCTCTTGGATTGTGTCTTATCTGATACTCAGATAAACGTCCAGACGTCGGGGACAGAGATTAACACGCACAGGAGGGTCCAGGACAGCTTCGTTGGTGCCCAGCATGGTCTGCTTCCTGTGAGCCTCCTCTGCCACACGCTGCCCCTGGACACACCACCTGTGCTGCACCTGCCGCCGCCGTGCCCGTCTCCCTTCCTCTGTTAACAAAGTCTGTTCCTTCTTCAAAGCATCGCTGAGAGTCAGTCTGTTCACCCAGCCACCCCTAATCCCCTGGCGAACGAATTTGTGGAATCTTTCCTCATTGCCACGATCCATTTCGAGTCGTGGTCCACTCTCTGGGGCATCTCTGTGTCTGCTTTAAAAATCGACACAGTCTCACTCCACATAGGATGCGAGAGCCCGTGTGGACTCAACTCCGTGTAAACCGAACGGCGTTTCAGAATCAGCGTCAAAGCAGGTAGCAGAACACATGGAGGACCAGGAAGTGTGAAGGAAGAGTGAAGCCTAAACAGGCACAGTGCTGCACACCTGTAATCCTAGCACTTGGGAGGCTGAGGCAGGAGGATTGTGAGTATGTGGCCAGCCTGCGTTATAGAGGGAGCTCAAGGACAGCCTGAACTCTATAGCAAGACAGAGAGAGGGGTGGGGGGGAGAGAGAGAGAGAGGAGGAGGGAGGAGAAAGGAAAGGAAAGGACAGGAGAAGAATGAAAGAAGAAGTGCACAGGCGTGAGGATCTGGTGTGGGTTTGAGCTTCCTGGAACCAGACGTGAAAAGAGCCGTGGGGGAAAGGGTTGAAAAGGAGGTCTCACGGGCAGGCGGTGCATGGGTCCTGGTGAGCGGGATCCCGGATT